AGCAATCTATATAACTATATATGTATCATTAACCCTGTTAATGACAACATGACAACAGGGTTGCCATATCTAAACTGTCATTACCCACTGGTAGCCATTTGGACAGGTCGTTGCCTAATTAGGCATTCCAACGACCTGTCAAACAATAGGTGCCAGTGGGAAATTCTATTTAAGGGGGTAGCGACATAGTCGTGCAACTTTGACACTATTTTTATTCGAAGTAGTACTCGCTAAGCCTGCCAATTTATGAAAAAATGTATAGGTGGGTTTTTTAAATATTATTTTTATTGTGTTTGACATAAAATATTTAAATGTAATCCATTATTCATGATTTTACGTAAAGTAGATAGAATACACCATATGTCGCCACCCTTAGATATACCAAACCTGCCCACTGGTAATTCATTTGTTTGGAATGCCTAATAAGCAGAAATTTGTTAAAACTTTAACATATATGTGTTAATTTTATGCGTTAAATTGAGGATATTAACATGTACTAATTAGTAGGCTTTAGAACTTAACATATAAGAAATTATGACTTTTTATTGTTTAATTCAACTTATAATGTAAGAAAATCATAAAACTGAACCATTTTGGAAGGGCACTATTATTTATTTATTTATTTATTTATAATACAATACTCTACAGGTCATAAACCCAATTACAGAGCAGGAATTGACAGAATATAATTATTAATAAATCACATTTTTTTATATGAATGTTAAGCACATAAAAAGAACTTGTATTTCGTAATAGGTAACAAATTAACTAAGATAAAAAGTGAGATTTTATATCTGACAAATTGCAACTAAATATATCAAGTTCATTGACAATAGAATTTGTTACTGTACACATGGTATGGAGCGGAGAATTTTCCAGAACATTTGTGCGAGATGTATTCATATAAAAAGTATTCGGGTGTCTGGAAGAAATTCTGGGAATGCAAATATTAAACTTTCCTAATAAGGTTGGGCAGTCAATAATACTTTTAATAATTTTATAAGTTACTACTACACTATAATAATCACGCCTTCTTTCGAGACTGAAAAAGTTATGCTTTTGTAGTAATTCATAGTGAGGTGTACCTATTAGAGGATAAATGCCATCAGTTTTCAGGCTTAGCAGTTTTAAAAATCGTCTTTGAATTGCTTCTATTCGATCTATATGATACTGATAAAAGGGGCTCCACACAACTGAAGCATATTCTAACTTTGATCTTATAAAAGCATAAAATAGAGTTTTTAAGGTAGAGGTTTCTTTGAAATCACTACTGCTACGTGCAATTAATCCGTACATTCGATAGGAGGAGGATACAACATTATCAATATGCTTATTAAATGATAGTGCAGTGTCAAACGTGACGCCAAGATCAGTAAATGTTTTCGGTCGCTCAAGGTCAACGTTTTCTATTGAATAATTAAATATTAGGATATTCGTTTTTAAACTGTACGACATAACTTTACATTTATCCGGGTTTAGTGACAAGTTATTTTGATAACACCATTCAACAATCCGTGTTAAGTTTGCTGAAAGGTTCTCGCAATCACCTATATTCTCTACGAGGCAGTATAGTTTTAGATCATCAGCATACAAAAGGAAATTTACATTTATAACATCTGCAATATCATTAATGAACATAATAAAAAGGAGGGGTCCTAGATTCGACCCTTGTGGAACACCAGAAGAAGCACTATATTCAGCAGACCTAAAACCATTAAGCTGGACATATTGCTTTCGATCCCATAGATAGGATTGAAATAGTGAAATTAAAGAAGGAGATAATCCAAAAGCTACAAGTTTGTTAAGCAGAATGCCATGATCAAGTCTGTCGAAGGCCTTAGAAAAGTCTGTGTAAATAACATCAGTTTGGGCTCTGTTTTCAATAGATTCAGCAATATATTGGGTAACGGTCAGCAGGTTGGTGACTGTTGAACGACTTTTCATGAAACCATTTTGATTTATACTTATATTACAACTTACATGACGACATATAACTCGCTCTAACAGGATTTCAAAAACCTTTGCATAGTTGCATATAATAGAGATAGTTCGATAATTTGAAATATCTTGTCTATCTCCTTTCTTGAAAATGGGACAGACCTTTGAGGATTTCCAGATCTCTGGTATTGTAGCCGATTTTAAACAAATATTAGTATGGAGAGGACGAGCAAGCACAGAAGAACAATCTTTTAGGACAATTATAAGGTTACTGGGGTTATTTTTGTTTTTATTGAAAATTGATGGAATACCAAATAGATTGCTGCCTTACGGTTGCACAAATTTAAAGCTCTCAATATTGTCAAGACACATAATCAGAGGTCCCTAATCTCTGCACATAATATGTCACGAAGTATTCTTAATGGCACGCATATAAATATAATTTTATATTAGAAAATCCTTAAAATATTTTTGCTTTCGCGAAAGGTCCGGTTTCCTCTTAACGTATGTTAATTTATTTGAAAATTTAACGTATCCATTAATTTTATTTTTACAGAATTACGATTTATTTTAAAATCGTAAAATTAAACACCCGTTAAAAATAAACGTATTGAATTACAGAATTACCACTAATGAAGAGTACGGATTGATTTTTCACAAATGGAAGTCATATTAAATAATAAAAGCATCCGGTCTGCCACATTGTTTGCTCAAAAAAGGGCCGCCTTTTCAGAACGCTTTTTAGTTGGCTAGGTATATCCTATCTAGTAAATATTATAGATCACAACGATAGGTCCGGTTTCCTCTTAACGTATGTTAATTTATTTGAAAATTTAACGTATCCATTAATTTTATTTTTACAGAATTACAATTTATTTTAAAATCGTAAAATTAAACACCCGTTAAAAATAAACGTATTGAATTACAGAATTACCACTAATGAAGAGTACGGATTGATTTTTCACAAATGGAAGTCATATTAAATAATAAAAGCATCCGGTCTGCCACATTGTTTGCTCAAAAAAGGGCCGCCTTTTCAGAACGCTTTTTAGTTGGCTAGGTATATCCTATCTAGTAAATATTATAGATCACAACGATAGGTCCGGTTTCCTCTTAACGTATGTTAATTTATTTGAAAATTTAACGTATCCATTAATTTTATTTTTACAGAATTACAATTTATTTTAAAATCGTAAAATTAAACACCCGTTAAAAATAAACGTATTGAATTACAGAATTACCACTAATGAAGAGTACGGATTGATTTTTCACAAATGGAAGTCATATTAAATAATAAAAGCATCCGGTCTGCCACATTGTTTGCTCAAAAAAGGGCCGCCTTTTCAGAACGCTTTTTAGTTGGCTAGGTATATCCTATCTAGTAAATATTATAGATCACAACGATATTTTAGTAAAGCATATTTAGTCCAATCCTTACATTTTGGTCCAAATAATTTGATGTAGTTATTCTATGCCCTGTGTTGATATGTTTTACTTGATCTATATATGTTCCATTTTATGTGTCCCACCCTCAGGGCCGACTGGAGGGGGGGGGGGGTAGCCGGGACAAATTCCCGGGGTTAAATGGGGGCCCGGTAGCGCTGGAAGGGGGGCCCGACAACAGCATTTTCTGTTCTGCATGAGAAATTCGACACAAGATGAGAGTAGGGAAGTTAAGTTTCGGCTGATCTTTTTTTTTTAGAAGAAGAAGCAATTGAGGTAGGGAGTATAGCCTTTTGATGTGAGGACCTTTTTTTTTAGAAGGAGAAACAATTGAGGTAGGGAGAATAGCTTTTGCACCTTCTTTTTTTTAGAAGAAGAAGTTATTGAAGTAGGGAGAATAATTTTTTGTTTTATGGGGCCCGATCTAGAGAATTGTCCTGGGGCCCGGTCTGGCTCTCAGCGGCCCTGCCCACCCTGTATAACTGATGTGACTTTTTTAAAAAAAATTATTACATTATATTCATTACAAATCAGACCCACTTAGTCAATCCACAAAACTTTTCTCGTAACTACACACCTAATATTAAAAAAAAACTAGTGCAATAATAATTAAGCTATATAAAATGACGTGAAAAAATTTCAATAAGATTCGTATTGCTCTAATTCTCATGAAAATGTCACGCATTTAAAAGAATCATTTCGCGATTTATTTGTTGACGTTCAAGTTTTAATTATACCTTTTATACCAAACTTTTATAATTTGACGAATTATGATAAGTTAATAGTTTTTATGATATGTACATAAAAGATGATAACTTTAATCGCATATTTACTGTTTACTGGCAAGACAATCTGATAAAATAAAAATAGGTAATAGGTAAGTACAAAGTACATCCATTTTACTCCAAGGTATTCGAACGCAGCCGTTGGCACAGGTATATATCTGACAGTTGTCATGTGTCTGTTGTTGTCTGTCTGTTGACTGAAAAGTCGAAAAGTCGAAATCGAAAATTAGGTTATAAAATATTTGTGCTAGTGGTCTCTGTTCTCTGTGTGGGTGGTAGGATGTATCAGATTTAGTAATATGTGGTTTTAAATCAATTCTAATTTAATTTATATTTACCAGGTAAGTCCAAAAAACGTAATATACTTATTACGTGAGTCTTTAAAACATTTTTTTTTGTTATAGTTTGATGTTAATACTGGATTGGAAATAGAATTTCCCAGGAATTTGTTATAAATTTGGATATACAGATTTGCTGGGTACGTAATTCAAAAAATATTTAAAACCTTTGAGCTCATCTTTGGCATATTTTAGGTTGAAACAGAAAAGAGAAAAAAAAAGGAATTTTAACCTAGAAAAAAATTGAAATTATTCACAATACAAGGTACTTGATAATATTCTTCAGTTATCTCAAGAGTTATTACAACCCTACTGTTTATTTACAAACGACAGATCAAATTTGAAATTTAGAATTTGTTTTGCAAGTAGGATAATTACAGTTATCTAAATAAGCTCTTGTTATCTGTGATAGTGCAAGATGTGATAAGAAGTTAATTTGCATGGACTCATTTTGAAAATCATTTTCGTTCTATATGTTAAATGAACAAACACAAAAATGGACAAAGGGGACCAGAAATTAAAGAGCTCATCAAAACATTATAGCATTAATGAATCAAGCTCAAATCCTACCTCTGGGGTGCTGATGGTTGGCCCCAATTTCAAAGTTGGCAAAAAGATAGGGTGCGGCAATTTCGGAGAGCTACGTTTAGGTAAAAATTTATATAATAATGAGCATGTTGCTATTAAACTTGAACCATTTAAAACTAAAGCACCTCAACTACACTTGGAGTACAGGTATTACAAGTTACTTGGCAGTCATGAGGGTATTCCTGAAGTGTATTATTTCGGGCCGTGTAGTAAATTCAATGCTTTGGTTATGGAGTTGTTGGGGCCTAGTCTTGAGGATTTATTTGACGTATGTGACCGTAAGTTTACTTTAAAAACAGTGTTGATGATAGCCATCCAGTTACTACATAGGATCGAGTATGTACACAGTAGACATCTGATATACAGGGACATTAAACCTGAGAATTTTTTAATTGGACGTAGTGGTAGTAGGAGAGAAAAAGTGATACATATTATCGATTTTGGGTTGGCAAAAGAGTATATTGAACCAGAGACTAATAAGCATATTCCATATAGGGAACATAAATCTCTAACAGGTACTGCAAGATATATGTCTATAAACACCCATTTAGGACGAGAGCAGTCTAGGAGAGATGACCTAGAAGCCTTAGGTCACATGTTTATGTACTTTCTGAGGGGATCTCTACCATGGCAAGGACTTAAGGCTGAAACTTTAAAAGAGCGGTATCAAAAAATCGGTGACACCAAGAGAGAAACGTCCATAGAAACTTTGTGTAAAGGCTACCCAGAAGAAATGGCTACATACTTACGATACGTTAGAAGATTGGATTTCTTTGAAACACCAAATTATGAACATTTACGAAATATATTTACTAGTCTTTTTAAATCTAAAGGATATGTTGATGACGGTGACTTTGATTGGTCTGGGAAAACTACAAATCTTTCTGCTGGATCTCTGCCTACAGCCACACAAGAGTTTGCTATTTCGCCTATACGAGACAAGCGAGCAGGTCTATCTAAACCAGAAAATTCCAAACATAGCACATTGGGTAATTTGACACCCGCCGAACGTCCCGGCTCTGTACTTGTTATAAATTCCACCAATGGTGATTTACATGCTGACAATTCCATGGCTCATAGTAACACCCCCATCACTCAACCCAAGGAAGTTGAAATAGTTGAGGAGACCAAATGTTGCGGCTTTTTCAAAAGGAAAAAGAAGAAGAAGGGCATTTCTAGTAAGTGAGTAGTGTATACAGTTAGAGAAAAATATGTTACCCTTTTGTAGTCAGCAGCTGTCAGTGTAGTTTATCGAGACTTGACTGTTTAATTTGTGCATATTTTATATTAATTTTGAAGAAAAAACTATTATTAACTTTAGTTGTGCCACTGTCAAAAAGAAATGTAGTTATTTATTCCTTAGAATAAGATTTTTATGCAACTTAAGGCTGTTTGTCATGACACTAAAATTATGTGGGTACTAATTTAAAACTAATCTAATAATTTTTTTGAATAATTTATATTGCGAATAGTAAATTCAGTACTAAATTTAGTTACTAGAAAAATATATTAATTTTAAATTCAGAAGAACTATTCAAATAATACTTTTTGATTTGTACCATAAATTTCAGGAACATCCCATCCATTTATGGTTCTTAAACCTTATTTTTGTTTTTCTTCGGACGTAGGTGTTTCTTTTTATTTTAAATTAAACTACAGTTTTAAGTCAAATTGTAAAGCTTTCCGTTTTGTGCCTTCTTTAGTACTTTTTATTTTAGCTAGGATTTTTTAGTGGGTAATTATTAGGTAGGTATTACTTTTTTTTATGTATAAACTTATTATTACTTCTATACAATTTATTTGAAACTCATTGTATGTACAAATAACTTGTTAAGATTAGTTAAGTACCAATATATTATATATATAAAAACAATTATTTTAAATATGAAGCAATAAAAAGTTTATACATATAAAAAACAAAACTAATTCCTAGAAGATAAATACTTAATAATAACTCACTAAAACATAATAACTAAAATAAAAAGCATTGCAGAAGGCACAAAACAGAAGAAGAAAGTTTTATAATTTGAGTTAAAATTGTAATTTTATTTAAAATAAAAAGAAAGACTAGAGCTTCCAAGAAAAATTAAAATGTTCAAATAATATTAAATTTTTTTTAAGTGCTTTTTTGTTTATATAAATATTGTAAAATATCAGTTTTTGATCATAAAATTTAAATGTTGTAATAATTTAAAAAATTATCATTGGGTTGATAGTCGATGTTGGGTATAGTAACTCAATATAAAGAATGAATATTTTTTATTACTATATTAATTAATTAGAACTTGTTCTATTTTCTACTAAAAATCTGTTGAAATGTTTCATAAAAGCGTAATACTGATTTTAACTCTTCAAAAGATGACAGTAGGTTTATTTTTAAAAATAAAATTGTTTCCTTTCATCTGTAATAATTATGCCTATCATTGCAACTATGGTAAATTACATGCAAAGGTCATTAACCAACTTTAAAAAAAGCAGGAGGTTCTCAATTCGTCGGAATATTTTTTTTTATATAAATATGTTAAGCGATAATTCTTTATCATGTCCTATTTCAATGATTGTTTTTTTGATAAAAAGGGGGCACTTCAGGGGTGGTCCCATATAAATTTGGTTAAGATCTAATAATTGGGTCCATGATAAAGTTATCAAACTCTTAATTTTTTATGTACATTCAGAGATAATTCTTCACCACCTTGTCTGATTTCTATGATTCTTTTTTTGTTAGAAAGGGAATACCTCAGGGGTGGTCCTTTATAAACTTGGTCAAGATCTGGTGATGACATTCATGAGAAAATCAGCAAAGTCAATTTGCAATGACATCTACACAATTTTGAAGTCTGTAATTACTATTATAACTTGTTAACCCTTATATTTCCAATTGAAATATAGTTTCACAATTTCCTGATGCACACCTTTTTCATCGCAATTTTCAGAAAAGTGTAAAAGGAAAAACTGGGGTGTCTACATTTTTTTTGATTAAATTAATTTACACTAATATGAAATATAAAACTGTGAGGTGTGTCTTGTGTAGTTCTTAACAAATTCAGTAATCTATAGAACTCACCCCCATTAAAAATTCCCGTCTGTAACTGTGCCTTTAACAATAAAGAAACTATTGCAATTAATTGTAAAATCGCATATTAGAGCAAGCCAGAATATATAATTTGTAGACTTTTTATAATAGATTTCCTGTACATTTATAGATAAAAAAAAAGGTTTTCACTTTGGTTTATCATAAATTGATTCTTTTTTATTATTTTAATTTTTTTAAATAACCTGAATAACAGATAATAGTAATTGTAATAATAACACAACTAAATATTAATTTTAATAATAATACATTATAATAAAAACAACAATAATAACTAGAATGAAAATGTATGGTATCGACAATGAATACCTTCTAATATCCCATTTATACGGCCCGATCGCGTTGTAATGTTCGCCATGCCTTATGGGCTGGCATAGCTGGTTTTGTTTCTTTCCTTTTTGCTCTAGTGTTGGCTCTCTGTAGTTTTCATATACACTTGTGCCAATGGATATTAGAAAGTATTCGTTGGCCAATACCTTATAATGATTGGCATTCTACTCTTCACAGTTTATCAGACCTCCCCCTTCACACCCCATTTTTAATCAGATATTTTTTTCAAAAAAAATTGGTTTAAAAGTTAAAATTTTATTTAATATTTCAACATCGCATTTTTATTCAGATTTTTTTCAGAATCAGTAAGCTTCATCCCCTTATAGAGCTTGATTTTTAGAAAAAAATTAATGTGGATATCGCTTTTCGTTTTTGATTTGATTTTTTTTTATTCATAGGCTTCGTCCTCTGATTTTTACTAAAAATTTCAATTTGGTAATGTTGGTTTTTGAATATTTTTTTGAATGTCAACCCCCCTTAACCCCCCCATTTTTAATTAATTTTTTCCAAATCAATAGGCTTCGAAAATTTCGAGTTGATATTAATTTTCTTTTTTGACTTATCGTGCAGACAAAAAATGTGACTTCGGACGAACATTTTTAAAAGTTTAAAATTTGATGAGAAGAATTTTGATACAAACATTTTTAAAATTGGATTAGTATTAAAAATTTTGATAGTAAACTGATAAGTGTATACTTAATTTAGTATTGAAAATTGCAGACGGAAAAATTTTGTGAATAATATTTTAAGTTTTAAATTTAGTAACTAAATTAATAACTCAGTTTAATTCCAAATTTATTAATTAATTTAGTGTCGTAACAAATAGGCTTAAAATTATTAGACAAATAAGAAGTGAGGTTAAAGTAATGTCTCTGACTGAGGTTAGATGTGTCAGCTTGTTTGTACCCTATAAGTTTTGAGTTGCAGATAGCATACTACCTCTAGATTAATTAATATATATTCATCTTTTACGGATGTTTGTAAGTAGTTGTCTTTGCTGCAACCTAGGTATAGGATGTGGGAAACCTACATTGTACCTATGAGTTCATAAAATTTAAAAATGTTGTTCAGGTGTTCTTAAATTGGAATTACTCAAAAATATTCGAGTAATAATTTGAGAGTTGAGGAATATCTTTCAATAACATTTTTATGCTTTATTTAATAAATAGTTGTAGGACCTTAATGGAGTTTTGCCGCATACTGTATCACCGTGTGTACCCTGTAGGTACTTATATTGCACCAATACTCATTTAAATGCCTTCATAACCTCAAAATTATACTTATCATTTTGTAAATTAGTATGTAATACTTATATTACTGATTTGTAGGTTTAAATCAATTAATGCTAGGTTATAAAAAAGATCGTCACTATACTTAAATATATACTGGGTGTCCCATTATATTTGGACTTTTTATATAATTTACTTTCCTTTTCCGAAAATGTCCTCATATTTTGATTCAAATAATCTGTTGACTGCCTTGTATAGGTTCAAAAATTGTTAAAATACTGAATGTCCATATTAAATTCTGGTATTTTAACAGTTTATCGGAAAATATATTGAGACACCAAATATTGTAAAATCAAAACTTACTTGTCTAAAATGATGACCGGACTGACGGGGTGATTTTTCTGTAAAAAAATAAATAAATATTAGGTTGTATTTGATTATTCGTGGTTATGATTTTTAAGTATTTGCGCTAGTCGAACTGATTAGTTTTTATTGACCAAAATGTATTCTGTTACAAATAATATGTTTCTTCGTTAGATACATGAGTTAGGTCCAAAGACTTTTAATAATTTTTTTGACTGTTTTGTTCTAGTCTTGTATCCCTTAAAAGTATTTTATTATATTTGCCGTTATATTAAGTATACCTAAATTTTATATATTTGACTTTTTAAAACTTTCAACGTACGTTGGTATACTGAGTGGACCGGATTTAATTTGAGTACTTATATAGAGTCTCATAAACTGCATACAAAGTCGGTTAAATTGGGAAAAATTTCATATTTTGATTGGTAATTCAAAATTCAATGGTCCCGATAAGTTTTAGATTTTCCTGCTTAATCTAGTGATGTTAATATAAATGCTATTTATAAGAAAAATATTTGTTATAAATGAAGTTTCTGCCATGACAAAATTTTCATTACTACGTTTCATATTTACAGGATCACCTTAGGTTTATTTTTTTAAATACGGACCAGGATTTTTAATTGTAACTTTTTATAATATTTGTATAGCTAAATACAACGATATATATGTTACAGTACGATATATATGCTGCCGTCCTATGAAAGACCCCCGTATTTTCAGGAAACATGATTTCGAGAAAAACGCTGTTAAACATATTTTGTTTGGGGGCAAAGCGATATAAGGTGAAATAATTTTCTATGATAAATTTAGGAAAAATAAGCAAATACGTTTTTTTTTTTAGTAAAATGATAGTTTATGTTACCAGAAACATGTATATGGTGATACTTTTTTTTTTAATTTTTGGAGATACGGGGTTTTTTCATAGGACGGCAGTATGTTACAGTACGGCAGAATCATTGATATTTATATAATAAATAGCTAATACAATTTCAAAAAATGTTTCATTAGAAAAATTTGTTATAATTTAGATGGACTTTTCTATGAGAATCGAATACAGTACAACTTCAGTAATCCGGACACATATCATTCCGGTCAATGTCGGATTATCGAGGTATCCCGACTACTGGGACCATTTATTTTTTTTATTAAAATTCGTAAAATTGCT